GATTATGACATCATTTAGCTAAATGTAAGTGTTTTAAGGCCAGTACTTGCTGAGTAAATAATTTCCATTTCCATTCCATCCTTGTCAAATTCAGTCATCAGCTGATTCTAAAAACACTTACCATTCTTTCCGTGGCTTTTGTTCTGGAGTTGGCTGTTTGGGTGCCAGGTTACAACAAAGAAGGAAATTTCTCAGTTTTGTGGTACATTGTATCAAAGGTAATCTAGTGGCTTTGGATGTCACTGATAATTTTCCCTAAACCATGACTAAAGCTACTTTAAAAGGAAGTAAAACTCCAGTCATTTCTCATAATTAATTATGACAATCTTGAAAACCTTTTTTCTGCGTGATGTTTCTGGCCACTAATTGTTTCACAGGCTGATATCCTGTATTTAAGTTACTATTTTCTCTTTTAGTGTTACATTACCTAGCTGGTTTGTTGCTTATACTGGATATAATTATAAATGTGACACTCTTAAAAATATGCCTTGTCCTTATTAGGTTCAAGGGAAAAAATAACCTTCAGGCAATGTACTAGGCCATCACCATGCATGTTCACAATTCCAGCACTGCAGTACCCTTAGCATGGTATTGTTGACAATATCCCACATATTGTTTCTCTATATTAGAAATAATACCAACTTAACTTTTAACCTTTATAGGTCAAATTTTCTTGGCTTTAATTTTTGTAATTTTCTTTGAGTTCTGCTATCATGTTATAACTCCATTGATATGCAAATGGTGGGTAGCTTTGGAAGAATCTAATATATGAGGATAGGAAGCACAGAATAATTTGGAGGTTCAAGACCTAAAAATAATGCCATCTCCCAGGCCTTTTTATCTTTAAAATATAATATTGAAGGATGATGTCTCTGAGACTATTTTGGCAACCCAGTGGATTCATTTGGAAATAGGAGCCTTCTTAGCCTTATTCTAAATAACACCACTTTTGATGTACTCATTTGTTTTCTCAGAATGATAATCTTTTCTTTTGTTGTGAAAGAAAAACACCACCTGCTGCAGCTGGATGGCGAGATTAATTCAGATATCGCTAGAAAAGAAATCTACTGCCAGACAAAAAGTTCTGCAATGATCATGCTAATGCTGTAATATAAATCAGACGCAGCACATTCTATTTCTAGATTGTTTATTATTGAAGATTTTTCTGATCAGCAAATATACTTCCAGTTGCTTTCTAAAGGCCTCTTACCCTTTTGAACCACAGATCTCTCTATAAATCACGAGTTAAGGAATGAATTCCATTTCACTTGCTAGTAAAAATTAACTCCTTGAGACTCCTATTGGAAGTCATCTGTGCAGAATTCTTGCGAAATAGTTGGTGCTTACCTTTGGCTAAAATTGAATTAATTAGCTTCACAGGTTAGAGTGGCCCTCATGTTTTCTTTATTTCTTATGTTAAAAAATGACATTTTGGCTCGGTGCCCGTAGCACAGTGCTTAGGGCGCTGGCCACATAACACTGCGGCTGGCGGGTTCGAACCTGGCCCGGGCCAGCTAAACAGCAATGACAACTGCAGCAACAACAGCAACAAAAAAATGACATTTTACAAAACGGAGGTAGAGAGATTATAGTAATAGTGGTTAGTCAATGCTGGTGTTGGTATCTTTAAAACTGAAGGTCCTTCTGTGTTATCACTAGTTTTCTATCTGGTCTAATGGAAGGACTCCCAGTCCCCTACCCCCAACAAACACACACAGAGACAAAAAGTGGAAAAGCATTTAAAAGAAGAGAACAGCCAGTTCCCCTTTACTCAGAACTTTTTTATTTCTGAAATCTTACTTTGACTGAAATTATTTCCTAAAGTTCATTAATGATAATTGTGTTTGTAAATTTTATATATATATATATATACACACACACACACACACACACACAGTGGTGTCTACTACTCTTCCTTATTTTAAGGACTTTTATGACTTAACCTACTCAGTCCACATAGCACTTTGAGGTAGAGGAACTGACGTCAAGCCATATAGTGGGCAGTGGCAGAGACGGGATTTGAACTCATGCGTCTGACTGCACCTCAGCATCACAACTGCTGCCTCTCTTGAGTCAGCCTGTGCCCCAAATCAAAGAAAATCCAGTTGGTTTCATTCTTGTTGAACTTTGAATAAACAGCATTTGGTGTTGTCTGTCTTCTTCTAGAGACTTTATCTTCCTTTGCATCTGTGACGGTTATTTATTAAGCACTGCTCTGCGTCACCCACTGTTCTAGGCACTGGGGGTAATTCAAGACCCATAAAATTCAAACAAAAATCCCTCCTCTTTTGGAGCTTACATTCCAGCGTGGAGAGACAGGGAATAACAGTGAAAAATGAACATAATATATAATTGACATAGTATGTAAGAAGATGTAAGTGCTATGGGAAAATGTGCATAAATATATATAGAGAAAATGGTAGAGAGGATTTGGGGGTGCCTCTTGAGGTGGAATGCAAAATAAATGGGTGTTCAGAGGAAGCCCTAAGTCATATTTGAGTGAGGAATGAAAGGAGATGAGGGGTGAACCATGGGGATATTTGGGAGAACATTCCAAGAAGAGGGAACAGGGAAAGGGGGTACAGACCCTTTGAGGGGGGCTTGCATGTATTTGTGGATTGGCAGGGAGGTGTAGGGGGTGAAGGTGGTAGGGACAAGGTCCAGGAAGAAGAGGAGTGGACAGAATAGGACCTTGTGTGGGGACTCTGGCTTTTCCTTTGAGAGAAATGGGGAAGCTTTTGAGCAGAGGAGTGAAAGGATGTGTTGTTATGTTTGTATGGAATCACTCTGGCTGTAGAGGAGGACTGGGCAGGAAAACAAAACTAATTGTTAGCTACCTTAGGAAAGCTACAATCCAAATGGAGCCCTAGACTACGGGGAA